CGTCTTAAAATTTACTTATCTGCGTTGCATCGGTCTTGCCTCTATATTTATATTTCATATTCGTTATTTTGGGCCGATCAGATCATCGCTGATCCAACGTACAAGAGTAGGAGTATCGTCCACGGTTACCTGCTGAACATTTCACAGTTCTCTCATCTCACTGCCTCCTGATGCGAGAGAGAAGAGACCCATGGAGCCGGAAGATGAGAGACCCTGGGAACGACGTTGGGTATCCGGGTACAATGCATGGGATTAATTGCGCAATTTCACACTTGCCCCTCCCCTTCCCGAACCCAATAGAAGTCAACTGATAACGAGTTAGGGTTACTAGCGTTGGTTTAGAAGGGAAAGTTAGGGTTATTAGTGTTGGTTTATGAGGGGGGGGGTAGGTCTGCAGTTGCTCAGATACGGACATTAATCTAATGGCTGTACTGAAAGAAAGGTTTTTCCGTTTTAGAATGGACCTCTAAACTAAACTCTTACTTTGGTACAAAATCCATCATGTATTTTTTTCGAATCCCATTTAATTTCGTTCAGGTGAAGTGTTATCAGTCGATGCATTTGACACTCGTGGACGTTCATCCGATGGTTATCTCCTCAGGGACTATCTTAATGCCATACAAGGAAAGTATGTAGTCAGCCTCTTCCATGGTTTTACAAAATGAAGGAGAGCGCGATGGTAAACATCGTGATAGTTACGGCGGTTTCAAACAAAGAGAGAGCTTTGAGTCGAGTCGGGACTAGACCCAGATCTCCGTTTTTCTTTCGACCCCACCCGGCATATCAAGGTTTTTTTAAGGTTTTTTAATAAAAAATGTATTACCACACCATCATACTCTTGCAATGACCTAACAAAAGTTCATTTTCTGTTTTTATTCATCTGCATATCTAATCGTGTAAAAGACCAGTAGTTATCTATCCCTGGGGGGAGGGTAGGGGCAGTGGAGAATTTTGGGGGGAGATCACATGGAGAGGGTATAAGTCGTCGACAGGACAGAGTGCCAACTACCTGCCAATGAGGTAGAACCACAAGAATATTATGGAGTCTTATGGGGTATCATGTAAATTTTATGGTGACGCTACCAAAATCCTCCAGCGTCCCTCCTTCCCTCCTCCACCCCCCCTCCCCCCCATCCAGCGAGAAATACTGCCCTGTGCCTAAACTGGGATCATCTTTTATTATTCAGGACGTAATTTACAAACTTCAGCTATTCATTTTTGTGATATATAAGTCTACTGCCTTTTCATTGTTAAGTTTCATCGTTTTGGTGACCGTTGGAGATGAGGGTTCGCGACATGTATCACCAGCAATCGACGCACTCAGGAGACTGGGCGCGAGTTATCCCGACGTTGCAGTGGGGTGGAGGGAGTCATATGCTCTTATTGGCTACGCAGGAGACAACAAACCATCTTAGATTGAGCGAAAAAGCGCTGTAATAGCAGCTGGGCCCACCATTATATCTTCTAGAATTCCCTTAATATTGTGTAAGTTTAGACGTTTTTACACCAAAAAGCGTTGAACACAACCCTATTTGGGCTAAAGCGGTGATATTTCAAGTTTTAAACGAAAAGTTATTTTTATTATGAAGCATGCAATTGATTTCCTGATATGTATATACATGCATCCATGCATTTTTATTGTAATATCTGTCAAAACTCATATCATCTTGGTTCGAGTCTCTCTGCGAGCCATTGATCTTATAATTTCCTGCGTTTATTCACGAACGCAGCATTCTAACTGGCCAGGACTGACAGATAATCTACAGAGGTATCAACAAAGATTACAGAAAACAGCACTCTTTTTGATGCCCTGAAGGCAGGAAATTACATTTCCTAACTTCTTACGGCCCTTTTTCGAGTAAAGCCGCCATAACATCGTCAGAGGCCGCTTATGGAAAGGGTTATCGAAGCCCTTCCACAGTAGACAACTCCGGCAAAAAAATATGTAAAATTGGAATTAGACTCATAAATATCTTTACTTCTTCGTCAATATAAGATTTCTTTACTCCTTTACTCAGATTCTGAGAGCTGCAAGGGGGCATATAAATACAATATGTATAAGAACGAGTAAGTAGTGTTCAGTCGCTAAAAAGTGTTGAAAATCTCAAGGTAAGGTGCGCTTTGATTCCGTTTCTTTTCAGTTGAAGAAAACTAAGTTTTCTATAGGAGAGCAAATTGATAAATAGAGTTTGGTTGGTGCTATCTTAACCCTTTCACTACATGTATCAAGACCTCGTTAGTAATTCATCTTCCTAACCCCCATACAATGCTTATGGTGCGAATTCAGAGAATTTGATCATACTGGATCAGGTAATGATCCTCTAATTGATATTTTTCTCTATTCTCATCATTTTTGTGCTTGAAATTGTATTAATAATGTAAGGAGAAATTCTGTCTTGGTCGCCTATAGGATGTTCAGGGGTTAGATCAATTTTAAGCCTTCATATAAGACAAAGTGATTTACTTGAGGAAAATAATAAATTCATCATTTCGAGAAAAATATATTTATTTAGAATGCGTGTAACTGCATTCGTAGTTCATTCGGGTCCTTTTCTTAAAGAAAGTTTCTTCAACAGCCTAGATAAAATGCAGTCGTGATCTTTTACTTTTTATC